AGAGAGAGAGAGAGAGAGAGAGAGAGAGAGAGAGAGAGAAACAGAGACACATACACACACAGACAGAGAGAGTTAGTTTATGGCTTTAATCTTAACGGCTAGGAAAGTAAACAGCACATTTCTTATTAATTATTTTTACTGTGTGGTTAATGCACATATTTAGCATTCTTCAGGGAACATTTAAATTAATTGACTAAGTCTAATATGAATTATGTGTTTTAATATGTTTAAGGTTGTTAAAATAATGCAAATTAACTGCTTGCAACAACGTAATAATTACAATATTAGTTTTTTTCCCTTGAAAAATCTCTAAATCTAAGACGTCTAAAAATAGAGTGGAGGTGGATTGGACAGTTTGCAGATTATGAGCTGGAATAAAAACATCTCAGTTACGCCAAAAACATGGCAACCAATATTTTCTGTTATAAAAATATTTGAGATGAATTTCGCTTTTTTTATGAAAGCTGTCTGCAACTGAAGCGAAGAGCAGAAGCTTTGTCGATTCACGGGCCAGCAGTAACAATACCTGCAGCACAAAGCATACATAGGCCTTTTCCACGTGAAGCCCGCAAGCTTCCGCTCCTTTTCAAAGACAGTTTATCCAGAGGAGCTGGAGATACCACCCAGTTAAGCTCTGAACTATTAACCTTCACCTGGATAAAGCTCAGGAGGGAAAACAAAACTAGTCAGAGCCTTGACAGGAAACTCCTGTTAACCGTCCACTAGAGGCTGTAATGAGACCAACAATGTCACTTTAGCATATGAAGTGTAACAATCAGGGATCTTTAAGTGAACAACAACACAAGTTACGGAGCAGGGTGAGAGGGAACAGTCGTAGTTCTATTTAAGTAACCGTGGATGTGTGCACGGTATTTCAAAACCTGAGAATAGACACGTATCCCACACGCCCCCCCCCCCCCCGACCCCCCCCCCCGCTGCTGCTTTTTTTTTTTAACTTCTGAAGTGCTGCCTCCACAACACAGTGGTTTAAAAGCTCACACATTTCTCTTGGTGATTCTGTACGCTGCTTCAGACAGTGACTAACTGCTAGGTCATAAGTAAACGGAGCCAAACGGTCTCTCTCTCAAACCCCGCTTACAGTCAATAATAGTGGCTTCCTGCAAGACCGAGGGATCGGGTTTCTAGACTCTTAGTTCTAAGCACCTGAAAGAGGTCAGATGCTGGCCTGACACCTACTGGTCTTTGGAGAATTATCTGCAGCAAAGAGAACGCGGCACTGAGCGACCCTTGCAGGGTTGCGCCCGCTCTTCCTCCGGGTGCCACACCTGTTGGCAAGGTGCACTCCTCCGGAGAAGGTTCCTTCCCACCAAGCTCACACCTGGCAGGGGTGTAGCGGAGGGGGGCGGGTGGGGACTCCACGTCTGCGTTTAGCTACTGGGACCAGGGGAAGTTCCTTCGCCGTGGCTCCCTGAGAATGCTCCGTGCACCGGTTACCTCACTTCCGATGAAATGAATGATCCCCAGTTAGCTGCGAGAGGAGTGAGCAGGTCGGCTACCAGGGCTAGAGCTGAGACGTTCAATTCCTACTGCAGATTTCCAGACCTGCAGAATTAGAAAGGAGGGCCGCCGGGAGGTCGCCAGCTTGTCCCGGCAGGAAAGGTGAGGGCGCCAGTGCAAACTGAGGAAGCCTGACAACTTTCCCGAGTTGCAAGTCAAGGCGCGGGCCCGGAGTCGGGTTGCTCAGGGCTCACAGGCTGGAGGGTTAACAGCGAGGATACAGCGAGTCCTCTTAGACGCGCACCGGGGTGGGGGGTGGGGGCACCAAGGTCACTTCGGGATTAGAATCAGCGGACTTCCCTGCATCCTTGGTTATTTTACTAGGTGGGAGCCGAAGCCTGACATTCGTTGCGGTGAGTCCTCCCGGTTGCGGGAGTTGCACCCTGCACTCACCCTGTCCCCTCCAACTAGGTTGCAAGGAGCCGGGGAGGCGCGCGTGCACCGATCGGTCACCACTCTAATGACCTCATCGCCCCAACTTCCCCGCCCCTTTCTCAAACCTGGAAGGCACAGTCCCCTCAGGCCGATGTCCAGGATCCGGAGCCGTAGTTAGGGAGAGGCACCGGCCTCCCCTGGAGGGACCGCTGCTCCGGCCGGGTGCACAGAAGGGTTAAGGGCGCCGGCCGGCAGCCGCGCCGTGCGCTCGCCGTGCTCTGTGCGGCTCGCCGGGCCGCCTGCCAGAGGGTGCCCCCCCCCCCCCATGAAGTCGGATCCTTGAGCTGTGGCGGCGGCAGCCAACTGCTCCATATTTGGCTTCTATTACACATTTACATACTGGAGCGAGCGAGCGAGCGCGAGAGAGAGCGCGAGGGAGGGAGGGCGGGCGGAGGGAGGAGGGAGGGGAGGGGGGAGGAGGAGGAGGAGGAGAGAGCAGAGTATACCGCAGACATCATTTCTACTACAGTGGCGGAGCCGTACAGGACCTGTTTCACTGCAGGGGGATCCAAAACAAGCCCTGTGGAGCCGCAGCTAGAGCTACAGCAGCCGCAGGACACTGTGTCTCTCCCTCTGTCCCCCCTTCCCCACGCAACCCCAGATCCATTTACACTTTACAGTAAGTGGCTATTTTTTTTCCTCCTCTGATTCTTTCTCTCCCCCTCCCCCCTCCTCCTCTCCCCCCTCCCCCGATTTAGATTAAAATTATCCCCTCCCTCACCCCAATCCGCTCTCTCCGGAGAGGGGCCAAAGAACATCCAGCATACACCCCCCTCCCCCAGTCTCAATGGGCTGCAAGGAAAACAGCTGGAAGAGGAGCGAAGGAAACCGACGCGTCGTGGTGTGTGTGTGTGTGTGTGTGTGTGTGTGTGTGTGTGTGTGTTCGCGCGCGCGCGCACGCGTGTGTGTGAGTGTGTGTACATACACCCGTGCCGGGCTCCAGCCTCCCGGCTCGGGACCCCACTCTGGGCGCAGGAGCGGCGGGCAAGGGGAGCAGCCAGGGACCGGGTGGGCGGCCCCCAGGAGAGGGGGCGCGCCCGGGCGAGGGGCGCGGGTGGGGAGAGCAGCGGCGCCCCGCTTAGGCTGCTGCTGGCCCGGCGGCGGCGAGCGCAAAGAGCCCTGTCCTCCTCCCTCCCGGTGGCGCAGGGGGAGGCGGCAGCGGCTGAGGGTCGCGCTGCCCTCTTCGCTCTTGCAAATTCCCCCTCCCGGGAGGGGGCAGTGAGCGCCGCGGGGGCTCGTGGGAGGGCTGGGCTTCCCCGCCTGGGGTCGCCTAGCTAGAGAGAAGCGACCCCAAGACTGGGGTCTCCCCGCCCAGGCCAGCCTTTTGGGGCCGGGGACTTTGCGCACGGCCTGGGGAAGCGGAGAGGTGGCGGCGCAGGGGGCAGGGGCGCGCCGGCTATCGGAGCGCAGCGGGAGTGGCGGCGGGGACAGGCCCTGGCTGCAGCCGCCACCGCCGCCCTGTTGGTGCGGTCGCTTCCTGATCCAGAGCAGCAGCAGCC